CCTTGCAGGTGCTAAATCCCAGTTTGTGGGGCTCTCTATGAGTTGTGGACCTCGAAATTCTCCTTCCAACAGCGTCACTCCACGGAGCACTTGATTGTAAATAATTGGCACGCCTGTTTTTTTACGATTTTTCTTCTTAATGCTCTTCGGTCGGCATTTGCGATATTACTTTTTTTCACATATCGTGGCTTAATATTAACTGAACCAGTTACGTTATATCTTCTATCAATATTTCTCACACTGTGCCGCGGTAAGACTAACAAAGTTGCAATTTCTGAGTTTGATTTCCCATAATTAAAAAATTTAAATATCATTAACCCAATTTTCTGACTAATAACCTTTCCTCTACCCATTTTGAAAACCTTAACTACCCAAAACTATTTTAAACGTATTCTGACAGCTGTGATTAATAAAAACAATTGTCATGGCTTTTATTTTTCACAGCCACCTATGCGTTATAGACTTATTTTGCATTGAAATGAAAATAGGTTGATATGCTGTAATTGCAACATGTGTTACTTTTTTGCTGCAAAATTGATTAAGGAGTGATAAAGTTGGTGTTTTCTACTATATATTATCAAAATATTCATTGTTAATATTTTAAACCTTTAACACCCTGCTACATTTTTATTATTTGTGTTTGATAAGAAAAAAACTAAGATTTCAATGGTTTGGCCAACTGAAGTGGGAAGGGGCTCTATATATATACATTAAAATGACACAATAAACTGCAAACCTACTTTACGTTATTCTTAGGGAAATCGTCTCTGCCTTTCGAGGTTTTGTAATAATAGTACCGGTTTATCTCTTCAAATTACACGACATGAAGTAGTCACTACCTTATCTCTACTTAAGCCTCAAATTTTTTGTTGTTGCATTACCAACTAATCTCTCTCTTATCACACAAGTCTCACGAGCGTGAAGACTACAGGATTATTTTTAACACCGGTTTATCTATGCCTACTGAACAGCATTGAGTCACAATATTATTTCTGCTTAACACAATCCTTAGGAAAACCGTTTCTGGATCTACAACTGAAATAATAAAAAGGGTCTCCCTTCTCTCCTCAATATTGATGTCTGCCTCCCGAGAACGGTTTTGTCGCTAAAGCGTCGTTCGCCTCATTAATATTCACTCAAACCGTGATTTCGTAATAAGGCAAAACGCTTTCTTGAAAATTCGCAAGTCTGATTGTGTAGCGTCTACTCAGACAGATAACGTTTTGCATGTAGATGGCATTGCATTGTATCAATAACTACGTGTACCTGAGCTAGGAAAAATAGAAATTGTAGTGTACTTTTTCTCCCTGGGCAGCTCAAAGAAGACTAGGAATAGAAGGATAAACTAATCGAGCGGGGGTGAAACCAAATGTCGAAAATATAGAAATGCGTTTCAGCTTCTGCTCATGTGGAATCTCTCTTATGTCTGCATCTCTCAGAGTTGCCACATAGGAGGATTTTCCCACAAATTTACGTCTCTTGGGGAATTTCTGGGAGATAAAATGTACTGAGGGAATTTTTGAGTCAAAAATTAAACCGCTGGGTATTTTATTCCATCTTTAACGATAAAAAATTGTCCACACCTAAATAACAATTCATTTATCTTTCTGCTGCTTTTCTTCCCATGTCGAACCCATCTCCACAAAACATCTACACTGACCCATCTCTACAATTTTATGTCAATTGTAGGCTGGTAGGCATGTATCCATAGTCAAAGAACACATAAAGACAGCAGAATAATAAGTTGTGAACTGACCAGTTGATTTAGCTATCTTTGTCTTATGCGCGTGTTTCGGGAGAAAGAGCAAGACGATAACTCGACTTTTCCATGATCTTGCGCGGATTTGTTCGTCTTACATATCCACGGGTCTGCAATTTCCCAATCCCCAAATGGCGTGATAACGAATGCGTGTATCAATAATTTACTTTCATGCGCTATCGTGACTAGAGAAACAAGTTGGTCTGACAAGTTTGTATATATATATATATATATATATATAGTTTAAATTCTGGGGGAAGAATTATGTTTGATCCACCTGGTAACGATGTCATCTCTCTCCTTATCACGAGCAAGTGTACACATGCGCAGAAGCTGTCCGCGCATAAAATTTTGAAAGCCATACGATTGCGTGTGTCGCCTCAGGTAGTTTACTTCTTGTATCCGGTCTTCTTGAGCAAATTTAATGGTAGTTTTAGAAACAACGCAACTCCAAAGGTTGTGTATTTCACAGCAACCTGTAAAGCTCAAAAATTCCACTTTTGATCTTTTTAAAGCAAGTTCAATATTGTGTGGTAAACCGTATAAGTTGCAGAGTATATTTGCAGTAACTTCAAGACCTCCGAGGTTTCCCAAAAGCTTCGAGATCCTATTAAAATCTTATACTACTTACACCCAAAAAACTGTTGTTTTTGTTGTATTTTAGTGTATTGAATTCCAAGTTTCATCAACATTTTGAATTTGCTACAATACTATATCTTCCTTGTGAATATTCTGAAGAATCCCAGGGTACCGTTGAACAGATATTTAGTGAATTGATTACTACAAGCACGTAAAATGAATAAGAAATCAGTAAACGAATTAATTCGTCGCTATCAAGTGCCTTATTTTACGAAAAATGTATCTCCAATTTCAATAACACTAATTCACAGTTTGGACAATTTTTCTATACAGTAGTTTAAAAGGCCACGATGCCATGCAGAATCAAACCACTCATTGAACCAGAATTATTTGTGCGCTATATTTCGATAACGAGTAAAATATGTGTGCAAAAAATCCACGTATCAAGGTAAATAAAAAAAATACCAGAACAAAAGAGCTCCTCTTCATTAATGAACATGCGATATTTAAGGGCATGACTGTTTTTCTAGTATTTCACAAAACTGTGTAACTCAGTAACTCTTCGTACCAAGTTATTCAGTGCTTTTCAAAAAAGTCCCCATCTACTTATTTTTTAAACGGATGCAGTTAGCTGAATGCTGTCAGTGTTGAGACGCTTAAAACTTGCCAAAGAGACACCAAACGCTATAGTACGTTTCTCTTAGAAGGATCTATCGGAATATGTAATAAAATAGAATAATAAAAAGATTCTGTTTAAATTGTCAGAATCTGTCACTTCGTTTGAACTTAATGTTCCATAAATTTATGATTATTTGTTGAGTTATCTTCTTCTTTATATTTCAGGATAGGGCGCTTCACGGTGAAATATCACATGACCCCCGGTCTATTCAAAAAATTGTCCAGGCGCCCAGTCGCTATAATGAAATCAAGAACTGTATGTTTTTACGCTAAAATACAGTACTCATGCGTTTCAGGTTATTAAATTAACCCATTCAAAATATAAGTAAGCACTACTCCACTGCTCCCCGTCCTTTCTGAAAAGCATTGTGTACCGCTTAACACGTTCACTGCGTGTATAATCAAACGCGTATGTCTGAGGAGCTGAATCTGTTTTTGTTATTACCAGTTGTTATTCGTCAAAAAAATGTGTTGTGAGTCAACAACAATCTATTTATTTTAGTTTTTTTTATTATTATCGCTATGTCGCCAAAAGGCGACAGCAGCATTATGGACCACAGTACACGATATAGTGCTGATGTCGCCTATGGGCGACAACTCAGTTTTAGTGCATAAAAGAGATAAAGTATAGAAAACTATGTAGTAAACTTTATTGCCTTACAAAAATATATAAATGTCATTCCTGTGTTTAAAAAAATTAAATGCGACTGTCAGTTACACAAAACGGAAAGATATTTATTTTTGTTCTATATGTTTATGGTAGGATGTAAAACAGTCCTTGATGCATAATCCGGGTTTGTCGGGACAGATTTCGCAGTGGTATAATGTTTCCTTCCTAATTTTTGCTGTATGACAGACTTTGCATCTTTTTCGTACTATTCTGCCAGTTGAATTTTTTTTAATTATTTTACTAGGGAAATGTTCGGTAGATTGTTTTCCAGGTTTGGGAACATATCTTGGGACTTCCTTTTCTGGCAGCAACGCTTTTATCACCAAAAGTCGAAAATCATACAGGTTTAGTTTTTTCCCTGAGTATTTGTTGTATAAGTGAAAAGAGTTCATCAGTCCCATTTGAATTATATGTATCGCCAGTTTTTTATACCACCGTAGAGTTTTATGTTCAGATGGGTAGTATGCCATCATTTGATCTTGACGATCTATTCCACTCATATATTGATTATACTGAACTATTGGAAGAGGTTTTATTTTTTCTATCCCTCTCTTGTTGGAAACAGATACCATATTGTTTTCAAACTCAGTGGAAATATATGTGACATCCCTTTTATCTTTCCATTTGGCAATCATAACACCATCAGAATATCTTGCCACTGTCTCGCCTTTTTTTAGTTTCATAGTTTTTATTTCCTTTGGATTGTCCTTTCTGTCCTGTCGAAGGGTACCAGTGCAATAAGAATCTTGTTCTAACAAGCGCTTTGACAGCTCAAAGCTGTTGTAGAAATTGTCCATAAAAACTGAGTGGCCATTTCTTAGATAGTCTTGTAAAAGATGTAACACTACTTTAGTCGTATGGCCCTTGCCTCCCATATCATCTAGTTGTCCAGTATAAACAAGGAACTTCAGGACAATACCATTTGGCTCGGTCAGCATATACAATTTTATTCCATATGGATGACGCTTATTTTTTATGTATTGGCGAAATACCAAACGTCCTCGCCACAACATCATTGATTCGTCCAAGGAAAGTTGCTTGCCTGGATAGTAAACTTCACGCATTTTATTGTTGAAGTAGTCTATAAGAGGACGTATTTTATATAAACGATCTTCCGATTGTGGATCAGATTTGGCTACATTTTTGGCAAAGTGAATGCAACGTAAAATGATCAAAAACGATCACGACTCATTTGTTCCGAGAAACAGGTCAAACCGAAAAGTCTATCTTTTTTCCAATAATCCTGGTATCTACTTAGTCTGATTGTTCCCGTATGTAAAATTAATCCTATAAATCTGAGTAGCTCAGATATGGTTAGATCTTTCCACTGCGAAATTCGTGATTTCTCTGTTTTCCCTCTTTCACAAAAACATCTATGGCGTAACTGTTAGTTTGCTCGACTATCATACTTAGAACATTTTGGTCAAATAATAAGAAAAAGTAATCAATAGGTTCATTATTTCCCGGTACATCCACTAAGAGTTCATTTTGTTTCACAAAAGAAATGTTTTTGAAGCACCTAGGATCATCCTGCCAGTTTGGCGTGTTTCTAGCTAAATCAGGACCATTATCATTTCCTGCAATTCCTTGATCTATAAAAATGAGAATTTACATCAAAATGATAAGTACACAATAATCAGTATGAAAAGTTACCTCCATCATCAGCCCTATCCATATGCTCGTCATCATCACCGACAATGCTGGAAGCTAAAACAGATAAAAGAATAGTATTTGGCCTAAAAGAGATGCTCGACATATCATTACCCGAGTCACCATCAGAATAATCCGTATCCTCCCACTCACTACCACTATCTTCAAATTCTTGCACTCCAAGTTCTTCATCACTTGATAGATAAGCAAGCATTAACAACTCATTTTCTGTCAATTTTTTCTCGTTTCTAACACGTAGTTTAGACCTTTTAGGGTTCGATGGACCAGCTTCACTATCCATGACTTTGATACCTTGTCACTGGCACCAAAATTCGGAAAATGAAAAACGAAACACAACACGCTTTACTTTAATGCTGTAACGTAATGCTGACCGAAATTCATATACACAGCTCCAGTGCTGAATTCCAACTAACAATGCAAACGATAGCATACCGATGTCGCCGACAGGCGACACCCGCATGGTGGTGGGGAGCGGAATGTCGCCGATTGGCGACATCCGCAGTGAACGTGTTAATGTGTTCCAAGTGTGTCTACCTTTCAAACCTGTATAACTTAAATCAATCCCTTTTATTGTAGGGAAGTAAAAACATCAGCTTCTGTTAACTTCGAGGGTGTGCTTCTAACGGGTGATTTTTTAAGAGGTATTGGTTTTGATTTTAAAAGAAAACAAAAAATTTGAAAAAACGATTAAATCTTTATTTGAATAGAACGGTCGATATAATTTAATGTTTAAAGATTATTTCATGTAAATGTTGGCCGCGGCTCCGCTTTAGATGGCCCATGCGCAAGGTCCAATTTTGGCACACTCTCTCCAACATATCGGCCGGTATCTCACGAATAAATGCTTCTGTATTGGCTTCTAGTGCGTCATTCGTTGCTGGTTTATCTCTGTAGACATTAGCCTTAACATGGCCCCACAAGAAATAGTCCAACGGCGTTACATCACACGATCTAGGCGGCCAATTGACGGGCCCCAAACGTGAGATAAACTGTTCACCGAACTCGCCTCTCAATAGGGCCATTGTTTCGTGTGCGGTGTGGCATGTGGCACCGTCTTGTTGAAACCACATGTCAGCCAAGTCCAGCTCTTCCATTTTGGGCAAAAAAAAGTTTGTTATCGCACGGTAGCGCTCACCATTCACAGTTACGTTTCGGCCATTGTCGTCTTTGAAGAAGTACGGCCCGATGATGCCACCGGCCCATAATCCACACCAAACAGTGATTTTTTCGGGATGCATTGGTAGCTCTTGCAATGCTTCTGGCTGGTATTCACTCCAGATACGGCAATTTTGCTTGTTAACGTACCCATTCAACCAGAAATGAGCTTCGTCGCTGAGCACAATTCTTCGATAAAAATGTGGATTTTCCTCCAACTTTGCCAGCGCCCATTCACCAAATTGGAAACGTTGTGGGAGGTCGTGTGGCTTCAATTCTTGCACCAGCTGTATCTTTTCCACGTAGTGGAGTAACAGAGGCCCAATTGCTGCGAACGGCGGCGAATCGACATTTCACGGTCATCATTAACACTGGCGATTACAGCCGCAATATTTTCTTCAGTCCTGACTCTACGTCTGCGTGTTGGTGGTTTAATGTCCAATAATGTAAACTGGGTTCGAAATTTAGTCCCAAGCTTCCGAATAGCTCCCTCAGTAGGCTGACCAAATTGCCCATAAATTGGAAGCAGTGCTCGATGCACTATCTTAACCGAGCATGAATTTTGATAGTAAAATTCAATAATTTGTAAGCGTTGTTCGTTCGTAAGTCGATTCATGGTTAAAATATAGACCAAACTGAACAAGTTTGACAATGACACAAGACACGATTTATGCGTCATCTGTCAAAAACAGTGTTGCCAAAAAGATACTAGCAAAAAATCACCCATTATAAGCTGACGTAGCGTTCCTAAATATACAAAAAATGTAATTTTTGCCGTGGGAAGGAAACTTTTGTAATTAATTTCATCTCTGAGGATTAATCCAAGATCCCTCCCACCCACTCTTCTCATAAATCTTGAACTGTCCGCAAACTCGCCCTAACCAAACAGGGCCGTTGACCTTTCATCATCGATTCCAATCTCAAATAAAAAATTATTCATTGGCCATAGTCCTTAATGAAGAAGGTTATCAAGAGCTATAAATAGATCAGAATAGGAAACGAAAATCTGATAAATACCCTGCGTGATATAAGGAACCGCAGGACTTGATTATTTAAGACTGAAGCCGAATCAGTGAGGGAACGTTCAATTTATTTTCTGTTATCTCAAGCGTGCGTGATGTCCAGTTTCAAAAATAGGAAGGTAAAAAGGAAATCTCGTGACTTCCCGAAATAAATGACAGCCTTGACAGATTGATGGGGGTATTAGATGGTATAAGCATTGATTCAGGTATTATATTTGAAGATGGTGTATAAACTAGTAATATAGCTTTCCATCGTCCGACCACAGCCTGCCAACCATGGATAGCTGTCTCGTGCTATTCGGGAACTCATCAGCGTGGTCTAGGCTTGGTCTTAAGTAGGATAACGAACAAAAGCTGAGCAAGTATCCTCTATTCAGGAGATCTATCGAAATGAGACCACACAAGATGCCATTTATTTCCTGAATCGACCACTACTAGCGTGAAAACAGCAAGCTGTCTGTTGGAAACAGCTGTCCACGGTTGGCTGTCTGTGGTCGGGCAAACAAGATCTGTATTACTAGTTTGGTCAATGGCGAGTAGACCGTATCTACTAGCACCAGAATCTGCGGCATCTAGCGGGCATAGTGGTGACCCGGCTGTCAATGCGAACTATCAGCTTGCTGTTGTCAATCTCGTAGTGGTCGATTCTGCTAACAGATGTCGCTTTGTGCTCTTATTTCCACGAAGTGTATTTCAGACGTGAAATAAGATACCGTAGCGTCATCTATGAGAGCTTGTCACTGCTACATTTCTCATTTCCGCGCTAATTAGAAATCTAGTTTGAGAAGATAAGTGTCCCATACGAGTGGATGAGGCTGTAACGGACTATAAAATAGTTGGCTACAGTGCTATTTATGAGATATTTCCCTCATGTATAAAAATGCCATAAGAGGTGTGCAATTTTGGAAAAATCCAGCGAAAATTTCCCGTAACCCATTCATCGGGAAATTTTCATAATATCATATCTAATTTTTCCGAAAAAAAATCGAAAAAACGCATTGCTAAGTAATATTTTAGTCACAGGACAAGATTAGATACCTGAATCGTATTTGATAAGACTATTTCATGAGTAACAGATTATTCTACATAGCCATAATTACTTGTTATCAAGGTATTGTATTTATGGTGACAACAGCTGTCAAGTTTTGGCGCGGGTAAACTCTAAAAAACTGCTGACAGGTGCTGTCATATAATTTTTCCATCTAGAAACCGGTTGTAATATAAAATTAGGCGTTTGTGACTGTTAGAAATTAAGACGAAGAAAATAGTCAGTGAAAATGACCGAGTAGGTATAGAAAATTTCCCTATAGGTCTGTATCTGTAGTTACGATTGATGAAAAGTCCTTGTAATGTCACGTTTTGGAAATGATTCTTTGAGTTTAATTCAAGATAAAGTGTCGATGCGAAAAATGCCAAAAGAAAGAAGTTACAGGCCCCCAGAGAAGACAACAAAGCACTTTATCACTCGGATAGGATGATAGAGAACTGTGATTAAAAAACGTCTCATGGCTCACAAAAAAGTTATTTTTTGTTTTGTCCTAGCATGGCGAGGAGGAGAGGGTGGAAACTGTTTGACTTTCTATTCCAAAAAAGATATTAATAACGCAGGGAAAAAATCAATAGACTGGAATACAACCCAATATTTGAAGGAGGTGATAAGCCTTGTGCTCCTTCCAAGTGGCTGGTTAAAAGCATAGTTAACCCAAATTTGTGTCTGATAAGGTTGTTCAGAATCTTCTTGGAGAAGAGAAATTACATAAATATTCCGAGATTTTTCTTAACTGTTAATCCTTTGTGGAAATTGGGCAAGTGGTACAAGAACACGCTTGTCGGAAAAAACATGATCTCTCATTGGACGTCAACGGAGGCAAAAAAAAAATCAGTTTCGGCCACCGAAAAGGTAAAAATAACTAACCATTGACTGCGTGCAACAGCTGTTTTTAACTTAGCAAAGAAAGGGGTTGAAGAAAATACGTAGATAAAAGTTACTGGACATTCAAGTCCGAAATCCATATATCTCCAACCGGACATGAAACACTTTTCAAGCATAATAGAAAAAATGAGAGATAATAATACTGCTAACCCTAACAAAGAAACTAGCTAATGAGCCTAAAACAAGTTCTTTAAATTTTAACTCAATGGCAAACTCGAATATATCAACATGTAGTGCAGCACAAAAGAAAATTTTCTGTAATTTTTATCTTCCTACCTACTTAATGTAAATTTAAATAAAATTTCGAACCTAACACATACTTTTACTCTTTCAACTCGGACAATATTCTACCAAATTACACTCGTGCATTAAAATAAACCTTAAAATTTTCCATTCAAGCATGTAGTCTCGGCAACTCTACGTAGGTTACCAAAATTCAGATTTACGAAATTCTTATTTTTGATAAATGTTTTTTTGTGTTGAGATCTTCAATTCATAAGGTATTTCATACTTTTGTTGTTAATTCTAGGAGTCTGCGACGTCATAAAATGCCGTCTCTTGCCTCGTCTTGCTGAGAGAGCATGAGGAAATTTGAACACATCCTTTTTATGCAAAAGTACAAAATCATCAAAATGTCACTCCTTATTACAAAGACCTCCATTTATACATTGGAGACAACCGATAGAACCTGTGATCTTGAGTTAATTTTAAAATACCAAAATAATATGTGCTCTCTAACAAACAAATCTTTGCATGTCTTCAAAGTTTCACCAAGCCTCATGATACATTCCAAACGTGACCTCGAGGGATATCGAGATCCCTCAACTGAGGGACTACGGTAAACAACTGACATAACATTGTGGTCAAGCGGAATCACATTGCAACCCTCTGCTACATGAGCTACTCAATTATACAATTCGTTTGGCACCGGACATTAGGATAGGATTCTCTCGTCTTTGTAGTAAGAGCCTAAACCATAAGTACACTCCTGCCTGATGGATGCAAACATGAAGACGAGACAGTTAAATAGTTGCTATGGACTCTCCTGCCGCTCTATGAATACAAGAATCCTATCAGGAGGAGCGTCGGATTTCTGATTTCTGTGTTACAGAATCTTTGCTGGGTTGTATCACTGCCTTCTTTACGAGATAGAATGGAACCTTCAGTGAGTATAATGGGGCGTAAGTGCTGTAATTTTCAGCATTCAAACATTCAAATTTGAGGTTGCACTCAAGGATATATTTCACATACAAACATCAAGTTAATAATTGAAGAAGCTTTTTCCTCCAATAAGTTCCGTCTGTTTGACTCTCGACACAGGAAGAAGGGGTGTTATAAATTAAGCATGGATATATTTTTTTAAATCGAAATTGTTGTCTTTCGAGATGATCCCTAGCTACGTTT